GAGGCCACTCCCACAGGAGGCGGAGTTTGGACTGAGGCCACTCCCACGGGAGGTGGAGTTTGGACTGAGGCCACTCCCACAGGAGGTGGAGTTTGGACTGAGGTCACTCCCACAGGAGGTGGTTTGATACAGAGTTTCTGCCCAACATTCCAAGGGATGCCAGGGGGCTGGGGTGAAGCACCCCAATCAAACATTCCAGACTTTTTTGGGTAAGGATTGTTAGGGGCTGAGGTGACACCTTTAATTAAACAGTTTTACGGTCAATTTTCCACTTTAACTTATTAGAGGTGTGTCACAGCAATATATAAAGCCTGAATAAGTAAGCAAAGGAAATTACTCTTTGACAAAACTAACAATGCCTAGCATGGAAGGTGATTTTACTGAATCCACTGAACCAGACTGGTCAAGACTTTAGCAAATACACTAAAAATGAAACCACAGGTTGGAGTTGCATTTCAGGTATTAGAACTGTCTTATCAGAGGTGATACATGCCTATGACACCTGCATGCAGAAGGCAGAAGCAGCAGGTGGAGCGCTCCAGGTTTGTGTGGGTTGGAGGATGACACTTGCCTGTTAAATGTCAGGAGTTATAAACCAGGCACTAATCCTGCAGAGGGCCAGGGTTCAGGTGCCAGCAAGCCCTGGTGGCTCACAACCTGTAACTCTTAATTCCTGAAGATCCAACACCCTCTTCTGACCTCCATGAGCATAGCACACACAGAGAGTTCAAGGCCAGTGGGGCTACAAGACCTAACCTCACAACAATAACAGCGGTTCTTATGGAGAAAAGGAGGAATTGTCTTAGTCAGTGATCCAACTGGAGCAAAACTGAAGAGCAGATCTTAGTTGAACTGAGGTTTTATTGCCCCGAGTTTTCCTACAAAAAAATCAGTTGGGGTATAATGATGATTAAATTTTGTTTAATATCCAAATTAAACTTACATGCTTTATGTAATTAAAACATTAAGTAGCAAAATCAAAGAATCTAGGTGTCCTATGGGCCTCTTCCAAGCCCATTCCATTTTAGCCTTAGGCATCGTCACACCGAGCCATTGTGCTGGTGTCATTTTCCTCCACCCTGGGAGCACTTGTGTAAGTGAACTCATGGTGAACTATTTTTCCAACATCAGTGTTGGAAGCAGCAGAAAATACTGTTTGACATTAAATGTGTTCATAGACAGTGGTTTCTCCTTACAGTCTATGAAGTTCTTGGGGCTGGAATCAACATAAATAATCTTGACCAAGATTCTATCATTCTATCATTAGACCAAGTGGCAATCCATCATTTGTTGGATGCTCATCTCATTTTGTGCTAAGCATTGAAATGCTGCAATTTCACATTCATTTTACTTTTTTTCCCCTCATTTTAGAGACAGGGTCCCACTCAATAGACCAGATTTGACTCAAATTCACTCATAGAGTCATGCGGGCCTCAGCTTCCCAAGTGCTGGGATTAAAGGTGTGCTCCACCACTCCTGGCCTAATACTACTTTTTAGCGAGCTATAGCAGCCCGTATATAGTGTGGGGGAATACAGAGAGAAGAACAAGTAATCCTGCCTCAGGAGTCAGGAATTTACTTGAAGGAGGCAGTAAGAAGTAGGAAGCTGAGACTGAGTTTATTTTGTTACAATGACATCATTCAACTGTCCTTTGTAGTTAAGGGAGAGAGGAAAGGAAGGATGGACGGACGGACGGACAGATGGAAGGAAGGAAGGAAGGAAGGAAGGAAGGAAGGAAAGAAGGAAAAGGTAAATGTCCCTCAGCATTGGAATTGTTGAACTTGTTAGGTAAGAGGGTATCTCTTTTGTTGCTTCGGTTTGATTAATTAGCTATCAAGGAAGAAAAATGTCAGTTACAGAAGAAATCCTGAGCCCATCATTTCTTTCCTATCCCAAAGCAGGCAAGTTAAATTCCTCTAGACTTCCTCAGTCAAGGTTCATCTTTATGACCCAAGTTCCTCAGATAATAGTATTTCTATTCTATTGATACAGCGATAGCCAAGTCACATCACTGTAGAGAGTCAATGAAGATTGACCTGTCAATCATAAAGAGTTTTGAACCCCAACCTCTGGTGTCTCAGGTAGCATATTAATTTCAAGAAGAGAGAAAGTACTACAAGTATCTTTTGACAGAATTTGAAATACCATTTAAAATAAAGAAATGCAGATGCAGCAAGGTTTTTTTGAAGCCCTAAGAGAAGACAATTTTCTCCTGGTAAAGCAAGGCCATTTTATAGACATTTTTTTCTTTAATTAAAAAAATTTACTCTGAAGCCAGGTGATGATGGCATGCCTTTAATCCCAGCACTCAAGAGGCAGAGGTAGGCAGATCTGTGTGAGTTTTAGGCCAGCCTGGTCTACAAGAGCTAGTTCCAGGACAGGTTCCAAAGCTACAGAGAAACCCTGCCTTGAAAAACCAACACCAAAACAAAAAAACAAACAAAAAACCCCCCACAAAACAAAGAACAAAAATCTCTGTTATATGCTTTTATATATGCTTTTGTTTAAAACTGATAAAGAACAAAGGCTAATACTGTCTCCTGAGTTAATTAAAAAGAACAAAAGAATTCGAGTGGGCCTGTCAAAGATCTGGGCAGGAAAATACTATAGAGCCTTTCCACAGTATGATGCCTCCCTAAACACGTAGCTCTGTGAGAGACGGGGTGTGGTTCTGTCGCCCTCACACTGGGAGAGCGTTTCCTTTGCCGGCTGCTAGGCTCACTGCCCTCTCTCATCTCCTTTGCTATAGTTAATATCACCTGTCTTCTTCACTGTGCTCTACCTGGATCCATTCAAACACAAGGAACACAGGAGTCCCAGGGGAGGTGGAAGGACATCTCTGTTACACTACCAATACTGAGGCAGAAAGAACTCTCCTTTCTAGGCCGTTCTACACTTGGCACAGTAAGCAAAGTCACAAAGCCACGCGAGAGCACTTAACGCAGTGAAGACCAAACAAACAATAAGAGTAAGGTTTTGTGTTTAAGTTGTGCTAAGGTTTAAGAATAACGCTCCCTGTCAGAACGGCTAAGGTCCCTGAAACAAGTGACAGCCCACGCTGGAGAGTATGGGGAGCAAGGGAAACACAGGTCCATTGCTGGCAGAAGCACAGACTTGTACAGCTCCTATAGAAATCAGCAAGAGGATGCCAATATACCTATTTCAATATCCAGCTATACCATATTCCCAAAGGATGCCTCATCCTCCCACAGAGACACTTGCCCAACCGTATTCATTGTTGATCTACCCACAACAGCCTGAAACTGGAAACAGACTAGATGTCCCTCAGCAAAAGAATGGGTAAGGGAAGGTGGTACATTTACACACTGGAGTGCTATTCTGCTTTTAAAAAGAATGAAATCAGGAACTATGCAGGTAAATGATGGAGTGGAGTATTCCAGACCCAGAAAGACAAATACCATACATTCACTTATATGTGGATATTAGCTGTTAAGTCAATGACAATCAAGCTACACGTCATAGAACCACAGAGGGTAGGTGTAGAGTAAGGAATGCAGGGGCTGGGGACAGAGAGATCTCACTGGGAAAGGGAAATAGCATAGTTACGAGTGGATGGGGTCTGGAGCAGGAGGGTCAAGAGGGAGACTCGGGAGGGAACTCGGCGACAGACAGCTAAAACAAAGGGTCATTTTAGGGGTAGCATGAAAACCTAACAGAGTAGAAGCTTCCTAAAATATATGCATATGTGAAGGCAATCTAAGTAAAATCGCCAAATAATTGGGGGAGACAGGGCCCCAACTGGCTATCCCATGTAACCAAATGAAGTTTCCAGGCCTGGAACTGGGTTTCATCTAATTGAGCTGTTGGCCAAAAGGATCCCATGGGAATCCCCAAACAACTCAGGCTGTTGCCAAGACTATCCTTTCCCCTCAGAAAACTGACAGCAAAGTCCCATTGCACAAGACAACACCTACTCAACTCATTGAACATGGAGAAGTTGAGCTGGTGCCTTTACCACCAGGTTTTTGGTGAAGGAATCTGCATGCTACCAAAAGAGAAATGGAAACACATATCCTGCCTGCAAGATATGCTAGTGCAGAGGGGGCTTAAAACCCTATCTGATCATCAGAAAAGCTTCCTCCTGTAGAAGGTGGGAACAAATACAGAGATCCACAATTAGACAATGGCAGAGTGAGAGACCTTGGAAGACTCAACCCTAAGTGGGATGTCTCAATCAAATACCACCCCTCAGGGCTCAAGGAACCCTGTGCAAGTGAAGGCAGAAAGAGTTTTAGAGCCAGAGGAGATAGAGGACACCAGAGGAAACAAGGCTCTCTAAACCAACATGATCAAAGTACATATGGACCCACAGAGACTGAGGCAGCAGCATGGGGCCGGCAAAGATCTGTACCAGGTCCCATGTGTATATAAATTATGGTGTCCAGTTTAGTGTTTTTATGGGATTGCTGGGTATGTGAATGAGTATGTCTCTGATTCTTGTGCCTTCTCTTTGGCTCATTTTCCTCTGTTGATTTGTTTTATCCATTTCTAATGTCTTAGTTTTATCTTTTCACATTTTATTTTATTATCCCTTGGAAGTCCGTTTGCTTTCCAATGAGAAGCAAAAGGGATGTAGATGGGAGGGGAGGTGGGGAGGAACTGGGAGGAGAAAAGGCAGAGGAAAATCATGATCATGTTATACTATATGTGGGAAAACACTATTTTCCGTAAAAAAAAAAATGTCAGAAAGAAAAAAAGGCTAGAAGGAAGGAAGGAAATAAAGAATAAAGAAAGAGTTGCTCATCTTTTTGCAAGGAGCTGCCCACTTTGGGAAAGACTCAAACTCAATGATATGACAAGCAAGAGGCAATGTCACAGAGGACCCTGTCCTAGAGGAGTCTGGCGTCATTTAGAGAGCATTGCCTAAACCTTCTCACTTCTAAACCTTCTCATGTGAGTTATTAGGAATAAGCAATTTGACTAAGTTGTAAGGAAGAGAAATACAAACATTATGGTTAAAAGTTTATTTAAGGATATATGGAGAAGTGGGGTGTATAGGAATCAATGCAGGGTATGGCAGTTTGAATAAAAATGACCACATAGGCCCATATATTTGCACGCTTAGTCCCCAGTCGATCAACTGTTTGGAAAGGATTATAGGGTTTGGTCTTGTCGGAGGAGGCGTGACTCTGATGGGTTCTGAAGTTTGGAAAGTCTACTGCAGACCCAGTGTCTCTCTGCCTGCTGCCTATGGATCAGGATGTATCTCTCAGATACTGCTCCAGCATCATGCCTGCCTGCGTGCTGTCATGTTCCCTGCTATACTGATAATAGACTGACCCTCTGAAACTACTAGAAAGCCCCAATTAAATGCTTTCTTTTATAAGAGTTGCCTTTGTCACGGTGTCTCTTTACAGCAACAGAACAGTAACGAAGACACAGAGAATGTTCACTTCCTGTTCAGCTTGCTCTTGACTGTGGACTCCAACACCACTTTTACACAACATCATTTTGCTAAGTCTATGTACTAGTCTTATAATCTTGATCAGGGGTCTGTGGAGGCCCATAGGATAAAGGATTTGTCTAGTTGGGTGGAGCCCTGACAGTTGGGGCAGTCAATCACCCAGCCAAGGGACTATCCCTCAGAAAGGCAATGTGATGTCTGACCTTGGTATCAACTTGACTACAGCTGGAATCAACAAACACCCAAGATGCTGAGCACATCTGTGAGGAATTTTCTTAATCAGAGTATTTGTGGCATGAGGACCCTTCCTAAATCTGGGCCACATCTTGTGGTGGTAGCTCACATAAAAGGACAAGGAAGAAGGAAACTTCTTTCTGCCTGCTGGCCCTCACTCTCATTGGTGAATTAATCTGCCCTGTTGCTGTGGCTGGTATTAAATTCAGCTTCTTCAG